TGAGTACTGTAGAGACGTTCAGTCCTATCGAGTGAATCGGCATTTTTACTCGTCAGTGAAACAGTATAGTGTTCTGAGCCTTTCCAGTGTTTCATGTGCTTTTAGATTTTGACCTTTATCCTGTGGCTTTGCCATTAGTATCAACTATGTATAGTTAATAAGGGTGCATGCTTGGCTACCACTTCCAACTTTCTATAAAATAAACAATGGTTATTAGAATTGTGTAAAATTAAGAAAACCAAGAAAAAGACTGAGACCCTTTTACTAATCTGCAAAAGTTTCAGTGAAACTTTTTTCTTGTATTTTGACCACTCAAAAAACATTTGGGCAAACACACACATGCATCCACACATGTGAAGCACCATACACACACATACACACTGTACATGCATACACATGTATCTATACATGTGAACAGTCTTGCACACGTGCATATACCATACACATGCATCCACATATACAAGCAATCGTGTACACATACACATGCATTCATACACATGAACAATCATATACCCACACACACCATATACACATACATGTGAATAAAAGACATTTGGGGACTTACCTATAGTAAACCTATAGTTTCTTCATCAAACTGTTTTTAATTTATCTTTTTGAGAATTTCATGTGTGAGTATTATATTTACATCATTTTTCTTCCCTCCAACTCCTGCCTTCACCCAAATTCATGGGCTCTTTTTCTTTATTACACACACACAGACACACACACACACACACACACACGAGTCTATTTCACGTTGCGCATGTAACTGGGTATTAGATAACCACTTATGGGCTCTTCCCTGGAGAAGATTGGTTCTCCAGTCGTTGATTGCCTGCAGCTTCTCAGCTACCAACGGGGCCTTGTGAGATCCCCATCCCCACTGACACGTTAGCAACAACATGGTTGCCCACATAGCTGAGACTCAGGCAGCATACACAGGGCCTGTGCAGATCTGAGCCCAATAGGGTCCCAAGGCTGAGAAGGAAGTGGACACCTGATCCAGCTATCTCCAGTTGATAACTGCCCACAAAGGAAAAACTTTCTCCACTGGAGTCTCACCGAGTACACAAACCACACCTAAGGGCCACAGTGTGTGGTTAACACAAAACAAACTCAATGGTATTTTGGGGTGTTTTCTGTCTCATAATATTTTGTTTGGCTTCTTTCTTAAACTTACAGGTCTTTTGCTTACATGATGTAGTTTCCGATTTTGTCTTGTTATGGCACTTCTGTGGGTACAAATGTGTGTCTCTGCATCTGTCTGTGTTTCTGGTGCTTTTTCTTTGGCTCCTCCCCCCATTGGTCCTATTCTTGTTCGTTTTCATCTATTTTATTAGATGACTGTTTGTTTTCTAATGAGAGAAAGAAAGAAAAGGTATGGATTTAGGTAGGTGGGAAAACTGTAATCTGAATATATTTTGTGGGAAAACCTATTTTCAATAAAAGGAATAAAAACACGGAATACAAAGAATTATTTGGCAATGGGTTGTGTGTCCAGTTGACAATCATGAGCTGAGGTTTTGAAGATCCAGATAATGAGTTCTGCTTCTGCATTTTCCTGACCAGTTCCAGTTAGACAGGCTATTTATTAAGTTAATCTTTTATAAATTTGTGTCATGCTCTCCCACCTTGTCTATGGGTAGAACCCATGACCACAAGCATGCTAGGCAAGTACTGTATCCCTCAGCCACATCCTTGGGGCCTATGAGCAATTTCCCCTTAATATATGCTTTATAAATGAGCTCTTTAAAAACATGTTTTTCACATTTTGTATACAAAAGAATCTGCCTTTATAGATTAAAATCTCTTTGCAGGCAAGCTTTCATGATTTAATGCAATAAAAAAACATACCCAGGGACACATTGGGTACAGGCTCTGGTCTATCTGTGTGTTCTGAAGAGCGAAGGCATTTACATTCTCAGGGGAGAAGGAGAGGTGAAGAATACCATTCCATGTTTGTAGCTGTGGGTTTTCTAACAGCGCGATGGTGGCTTCGTCACCCTGCATAACTGCTGCATTGCTGCATGATTTCTGCCCGGGGAACTCCATCGGTATGCAGATTTATAAGCACACAGCCCCCTGGATTAAGGCCCTCAATCTTGTCACAGTTATTGTTCTAGGAATATGTCCAAAATTGCTACCAGGAATGTGTTTTACTTTTATGGTGACTTGTTCTTAAGGGTAAGAGCAACCAACCAATCATCCAAAAGGAAACGTTTTTTTATCCGATAAATATCACGTTGAATCCTTGACAGGTCTGGAAGGGTGGACTTTAGGAAGGGCCTCCAGAAGTGACCTCAAGGGTGTGGAGGAACTGGCTGCCCAAGGGCTTGGCAACACTTGGCTTAAAAAGGAAAGCGAGGAGCTGGGATGCTCCTGGGATTCAGCTGGGTCCAGGGTTCAATATACAACCACAGAACCAAGGAAGCAGAGAAATGTCATCTGACAGATCAGTACCAACCAAACGGGGCCTCTCTGCTTAACTCAGTTCCAAATACAAGTTTCAGACCAGTGTGGAGGCAGGATGATCAGGAGTTCGAGGCCAGCCTGAGCTACAAGAAACCCTGTTTCATAATAAATAAATAAATTCATAGATAGATTAGATAGATAGATAGATAGATTGATTGATAGATGCATGCGTGCATACATACATACATACATACATACATACATACAAACAAACAAACAATTTTTCTTACTGGTGTACCTGCTATGCGGCGCTCTCTGGTGAGTCATGCCTGGGCAAACTGACTTTTTCCTCTGTGACACACACAGTACACCAGAAGGCAGGGACAGGAACGGGGTCTCATCAACACCCTTGCCAGGCTTCTGCACTGAGAGTTGATCTTTTTTCTTTATCATGCATTCCAGGCATTTTCTTCAGTACCTTCTCCATCTTACTAGTTTGAGTTTCTATGCTGTCCAGGAAATGTTTTGCTTATGACACTGAAGTTTTTATTTGCTTTATCTTTCACTCTGCTCTATTCTGCTCTTGGGCGTCCTTTTCTTCTCATACAATATATTTTGATCATATTCTTTCCCCTCCCCCAACTCCTCCCAGATCCAACTCCATGTCATCTTTCTTACTAAAGAGAGAGAGAGAGAGAGAGAGAGAGAGAGAGAGAGAGAGAGAGAGGAAGGAAGGAAGGAAGGAAGGAAGGAAAACAACACCAAAACTAAAACAAAAAGGTAAAATCAAAACCAACTTAAAGAGAATGAGAAATAGAGATTAATCTTTCAGAAAATCATCGTGGCAAGGAAATTTTCACCATTCTTAACTGTCTGTTTGTTGTTTGTTTGCTTTGAGAAGTGCCTCACTCACAGGAATCCTTCTGCCTCAGACTCCAGAGTTCTGGAATCACAGGTTTGCACTGCCAGGCCCAGACTTTCTGTGGTTCTTGAGGGCGTAACAGTTGTGTTCTGCAGACAAGCATGGAGGCCACGAAGCACAGTCACCGTAGCTGGTTGGGAATGCAGCACGTAGGCACTGAAGGAATGCAGATGACTCCCATGCTGGTGTGTTGGCTTACTCAGACACCGTTAAAAGCCCCACTTGACAGGCATAAGCGCAGTGATGGAGTGCATGCTTCCTGAGCAACACATGCTTGGATGACAGACAACTCTGCTGTGTTAGGGACTTACTTATCTTCCAAGAATCAGTTTTTCATCTTGCTCTGCAAGCTCATAAAGCTGCTTAAAACTCTGACGTTTTACCTCTGACTAAGCTGGGCCGTGAAGGGTACACAATTCAAAATCCACCCTGGCACTCTAATCTGGATACCCTTAGACCCAGAGACACAAGTTGACAGTTCATGTTGTTAGAACATAACAAAAGTTAAGGCCATGGGACAGACTGACAAGAATTAGAACTATCTAGACCAAAGAGCAGAGGCATTGCCAAACCAAAGCACAGCAGACCCAGAGGGAGACCGTAAGCCCTTATGTCTTGTCCCCATGCTCTTTGAACTCATTCTAGTGCTTTCTATTGACCAACTCCAACCACCACAAGTCAGAATGCAAGGGAGTCCAGCCTCTGGGTCTCCAGAGGCCACTGAACAAGGGAGCTAGAAAATGGGCCTGGAAGGGTAGCCTGAGGTTAAGAAGCATTCAGTGGAACCATAGGATGCTAGCCCCAGCATCTGCTCACTGATGGGACTCCTCTGCCATTATGTTAATATTTGAGAGTCCTTTCTAGGTTTGTATTCCATTGTTTTTCAACTACATTTGGTGGTACAATGTGGTATGGACCTTATAGAGCATGGCTGTTATTCTTTTTTTATTATTATTTCTAATTGTCATCATTTTGTCTTTTTGCTAAAATTCGTCCTGAATTCCATGTCCTGACTAGTTGTTTTGTTTGTCTGTTTGTTTGGTAGATGGGCTTTTCGGTTTGAGACAGGGTCTGCCTAGGTAATCTTAGCTAACCCAGATCTATTTAGAACCAAATTGACCGTGCCTGGCTGAATAGTTCATTTTCATCAAGGGTTACTTCCTTGGACTTACGCTTTACTATCCCAATCACATGCTCTCCTTGAGTAGTGGGTTGGGGTGGTTTTCAGCATTTGATCTGTCTGAATTGCCAGCCCCACCATCTGCTTCCTGAAGCCTGTGCTCCAAGCTTCTGTAGTCATTTTCTGCATCAAGAGAAATCTCTGGGGTCTTTCCCCGTTCTTCCTCATTCTCTATTTCTTTCATTCTGGTTCCTTCATGATGGCTTTGGCTCGCCTGTTTGCTACTTACAATGTTATCAGTTAAATGATGTTGTTATGGCAAGTCATAAGGTGTGTGTGTGTGTGTGTGTGTGTGTGTGTGTGTGTGTGTGTGTTTGGGAGGAGGCGAGATGTGTTTAAGTTTGGCTTACAGGTTAGTAGATGAAGTAAAAGTCAGAGTCAGATTCCTAATTTCCAGGCCTATTTATGTGTCCTTTGGGGAAGATGGCATAGTTTCTACCAGTTACGAGATTCTAAGTATCGCCTCATTTTGTTTTCTTCACTCAGATTCGAAGCCAGAGCAAAGCGTCTGACGCTGGCCTGTGTGAGGGGGATGAAGTGGTGTCTATCAATGGCAACCCTTGTGCAGACCTTACCTACCCAGAAGTCATCAAGCTCATGGAGAGCATAACGGACTCTCTCCACTTGCTTATTAAAAGGTAAAGCAAATTTGTTGTGAGGTATCTTTCTCTTGAAGCCAAGTGGAATGACTATAGAGTCTATGAATATAGATGCTGTGAGTTGTGATGGAGTTCATGGTGCTGTACAGAAAGTCAGAACAGCTAAACAGATCACCACAGTGTTTGAGAACAAGCAATTGTATTTAAAGGGGCTTGAAAATATTTATGTCAAGCACTTTGTGGAAAATCTTAAGTATTTTAGACCACCTTTTTTTAGAAAGATCAGTGTACTAATCATAATAATACCATTTCCAGGGTGAAGAGTTTCTATAAGGTAAGGATTGTAATTCTTAGATTTGAAGATGAATTGAAAATGATTGTGCATTGAACCATTGACCAATACAATAACTTTTTATACTAAGATGATGCCTTAGGAGTGGAGAACAAAAAAGATTAAAAGTAGATTTTCATTTCTTACAATAAAACCATATTTGGGTATGGAAGAGCAGGCTAGATAAAGATTTGGTGCCGTCAAAGTACTATTTACAGTGTTGAAGAAGCACCCCCTACACACCGTCATGTGTGTGTGCAGTGCATATATGAATACATGCATATTGTATTTAATTTTTATTCATCAAGCTCTTTGGATCCCACTTACTTATAATGTAGTCTTTTGCTTTTCAAAGTAACCAGCGAAAACATAACTATTTAAGAACCAAACAAAAATTAGCAGAAACAAAACAATGTACCAAGTGCTCAGGGAGCATTGTTCCTGCATTTACCCCGTTCTGAGTAAGTCTACTAAATGTTTGAGGACTTCCAGCTTCCCCTTTGGCAGAGCCTACTTATAAACAGGAGTCAATCTTTTCTACTTAATTCTGACTTTGTGACTTTAGTCTGGGACATGCTCTACTGGTTCCTGTTTCCATTATGAAAGCATAAGAAAACATTTGGTTCGAGGGTTAACCTTAGGCACCTACCTCGTTTTAGAAATAAACTTGTTCTCTGCTGTACCAAATAGCTAGGCTCATGCTTGGTTTTGTTTTTATCTTAAGTATTTTGAATTTCTAAGGGACAGTTCTTTGGGCTGGAGAGTTGGAAGCTCTTGCATAGGACATGGATTGATTCCCAGCACCCACATGGTGGCTCAAAACTATCTGTAACTCCAGTCCCAGGGGATCAGATGCCCCCTTCTGGCCTTCAAGGGCAGAAATGTGCTACACACACACACACACACACACACACACATATGTATATATATACATATATGCAAGCAAAACACTTGTGCACATAAAATAATAAATCAGTCAACATTTTAAGAAAGAGTCAATTGATGGAAATCAAATGAAATGTCCAGTTTATGAGGCCCAAAGCAGCAGCAGTGTGGACATCTGAACATGTTCCTGAAGCCAAGCAGTCCTCAGTCATGTCACTGTTAGCAGTGTGGACATCTGAACATGTTCCTGAAGCCAAGCAGTTCTCAGTCACTGTTAGAGTCTGGCTTTATTACCCAGAGATGGATGGCTAACACTATTTAAGAACCAAGCAAAAACCAGCCTTTTAATACGGAATCTTTATTATCTTAGATGTTTTTAAAATCATAAAAAATCAGAAGCAAATAATCTTCTAATTATACTCATGGTGAGACTGAGTACCTGTGCGTATACATCTCCTCTTCTTATGATTATTTATGATTTTTTATTCATATGTATACATTTCACTTAAGCTCCCAAGAAATATTAGCACTGGCCTGTTACCCTGTATCCCAATCTATAAATGAGCTGAAAGTTCTCTCTTCTCAGATACATAACTGATGAACAAATAGTTCAAAGTGATTTCAGCTGCCTTTATCCAATTCTGCCAGATTAAACCACCCTGATTGTGGCATCTCAGAAAGGTTGCATAGAGATGTTCACCATTTCCTACATGAAAGCGAGCTGCCTGTACTGCTAGCTCAAGCTTATATTCTCAACTCTTGGGAGGCTGAGACAAGAGGATCTTTATGACTTGAAGCCTGGGCTATGGAGTGAATTCCAGGCCAGTGCGGTCTACACTGTAAAATCCCTGTCTCAAAAAGTGAATAATCTACTGATAACATGTTTCAAAAAGTATAGTTTTTGTTGGCTTTTGTTTGGTTTGTTTGGTGGTGTTTTTTTTGTTTTGTTTTGTTTTTTGAGGCAGCGTTTCTCTGTGTAGCCCTGGCTGTCCTGGAATTCACTTTGTAGATCCACCTGCCTCTGCCTCCCAAGAGCTGGAATTAAAGGCCTGTGCCACTTCCACCAACTGACTTATATTTATGTTCTTTTCTTTTGGTTTTATAATTTTTAAATAGTATATCATTATGAAGCTTTTCAGATGGCTTGCATAGAGAAAGCAACAATTGGTTTGATTTTTGTTGGGTTTTTCTAAATGCAGTCAAAATCACAGTTAGAGGTAAACATTTTGTGCATTGGCCTGAAATTCCACTTCCATATAATTCCAGAGTAAATTTCTTTGAGTAGAAGAGAAATATCCACCCTTTGTATGGATGATCCTGTACTAGTCAGGATCCATCCCCAGGATGCAAGAAGGAGCTACTGCTCCTTGAAGACTCTGCAAGTATGAGAAACGAAGGCATCTGCCACAGCTGTTCTGTGAACAACATTTCTCTTATAAACAGGCCTAGAGCTCGGAGATTTAGAAAGAACTGGCATTGCTTCTCACAAACATGACTGTGAATGGATAGGTTTGCATCAGAGGAGACTGTGGAATAGCTCTGGTCTCCTTAGCAGAGAAAAAGAATCAGTGTGAAGACAGAGACTGTACAAGGGAAATTCTGTAAGTGACAAGTGCACTTAGAAGAAGAGACAGCATTTTGGGTTATAAATAGCACTTGACCTAGAAATGTGTTGCAGAAAGGATTGCTTTTGCATAGGAGATCTGGGCTGGGGTCTACTGTGCTCACTAGAGCTTAGGAATGGACTTCCATTCCATCCTTTCAAGCACATACCACGGATAAAAATAGTTCATGGTTTAAGGTTGATCTGAAGCTCTGGATGTGTCTGTTTGACTTGATGATGTCTAGGCCAAAGCTTACTCCACAGGACACTGAAGTTCCTGGTCACCTACAGCAAAAATAGTTTGTTGAGAAAACGCAAGCAATTTCAAATGAGGGCACACACATAGCAATACTCCACAAGGGGCATACACATAGTTATACTCTGTGCTTTTTACAAATAAAGGCTGAATCAAAGATGGGTTTGGATTTCAATTTTTTTGTAAGTATTTTTCTTGTTCTTGAAAGGCAGTTTTATCTTAATGATCTTCAGTAGTCATATAGACATGCTGTCAAGTTCTATTTTCTAACATGGTGGAGTTCTTGGGGGGATTTTTACTGAATCGTGCATGAGACATCATAAATGTTGGGAAATCCTTTGGCGGGTGGGACACAAGCTGACTTAACTGTCTGGAATTCTTTTTTGTATGCAGACCATGTAGTGGCACAAGCGAGATTTTGGACTCTGAAACAGAAAATGTAAACCATCAGGATCTCCCACATGAGGGGCCTATGGAAAGTACCACCCTGCAGATTCTTCCAGCCACGAAGGCCCAGAGCAAGGACCTCCTTCTTGCTCCAGTCCAAAGTAGAGTTCCCCTAACCGAGGACCAACGAAATGATTGGGGATATGCGGAATGTACAACAGGAGAGAAAGTTCCCCAGATGCTTGGCTCCCAAGAAGAGCACTTGGTAGAAGAGGTCATCTTAAGGGAAAAGGCAGAAGCGGGCCAGCCAGGCCGTGTGGTTGAGCTACAACTGTCCCTCTCAAAGGACAGACATCAATGCACTAGTGGCCCTATAGTAGCTCTCCAGGGAAATGAAAAATCCGAGTCTCCTGACCCAGACTGGAGTTCACAACACGAGAGGACCGTCCACATAAATTCGATCGCAGCTCCTGAGGAAGCAGGCACTTCTCTGTCGTCCGGCACAACAATCCAGACCTCCAGTGGCCGGGAGTTGAGAGTGATCCAAGGAAGAGGAGCAGGAGGCGTAGGGCTGCCCCAGGTGGAAGTGATTCTAGAGTGCTCTGACAGGCAGAAGGCAGAAGAGGACAGGCTGCAGGCAGCAGAGGGGTGTGTGGCTTCTGTGGTAGAAGGAGGGCGGTCAGAAGCACCTCCTTCTCTGGTCTCCTTTGCGGTCTCACCAGAAGGCACTGAGCAGGGGGAAGACCAGCGCTCAGAGAAGGATCACAGCAGACCACACAAGCACAGGGCACGACATGCTCGTAAGTCCTGCCTGGGGTGGGTGGGGGACGCTGGCCGGGGAAACTGGCGTTTTTCAGTATCTTGCTAGTTGGACTGCATGAATTTTTTAAAAAGATTTTTCTCATACCTTCCTACCATCTTTAATGCTTTAATTAATGCACAAAATAACAAATATAAACAGTGTGGAGAATACCAGTTTCGGAATTGGAAGCAGTAAATTTGAACTTCATATTAGACTGGAATATCTTTCATAAACTTCATTTTATCCCCCCAAAAGATGCAGGAACTGTTAAAGAGATATGAAATACGCCTCTTTTATTTGTTGAAGAATGTTATGACATTTCATGTTAAAATACTCTGAAGGGTTCTGGAAGTTAAGTCAGCTCACTTTAAATGACAAAAACAGTTCTGCCTTTTTCCAAAGTGCCTTTAATGCAGGCTCCACACTGATATTAAAAGTGGAGCTTCATTTTGAAAAAAAAAAAAAAGCAAAGGCATTCTGCGGCTTGATGATGCTTGCAGAAGTGTTTGATGGACAAGCGCATGTGTGATGCCCAGCGGTTACATGATCCTCGCCGGGGTGTGAGCCTCACTAGGGGGCGGTGCTTCACCTTCGTGGTCTCCAGGGCCATGCACAGGCAACTCTGTGTTCTCCCACCGAAAATGGGGCTTAATGCAAGGCCTCTGCTGGCATTTTGTCTTATCTGGGTTACCAAGGTCACAAATAGGACGAGGTCAAGAATTGCAGTTAAGTGTTAGTATATTTTCTTTCATATACATAGTCCCTCTTCTAAAGTTTACAAGCTTTGGGTTTACCTCGAGGATGCAAAGGCTGACTGTACACAATGGCAATGAACTCGGTTACCCAAAGTCATACATCAGCTTTGTAGCCTTGTTGTTCCTTTGGGTGCATATTTTTAGCACAGCCATTTGTAGCTCTGTTGGCAAGCACCGGTAGCCGCGCCTCATCCCTTAGGCACCCTCACATATATAGCATATTAACCCCGAGTGCTATGACAGCATGCGCATAGTTCACATGTTGACAGTGAACAGACAACTGTGCAGTTGTTACTGTCTGTTTAATAACAAGCTGTAATATCACTAGTCAAAAAAGAATCATATTTAATAATGGCCAGATTTTGAACTATTTTGTCTGCACAAAATTTGATCACCAGAAAAATATCTGTAAGGTTACTCTAAAATTATTTTCTCTTATTCTATTTGTTTGATTAACCTAGTCTGACTTTTAATAACAAAAATTATTTCAATCATGAAATATTTTATTTTTCTGATATCTTCATTTAACTCAAGATTTTATAAAATTTATTTGTAGACCATACTCATTAAAGGTGGTTATAATTAATTGATGCTATAAATTAATTTGCCATTATCTCTTTATAACAATAAAATAAAAATATAAAGTTTATCGTTTTAAAATTTCACATTCTTTTTTTAATAGCATGATTGCTGCATCAGTTTTAAATTCAAGTCAGACAATCTTTAAATTTTCCAAGGTTTACACTTATTCTTTCTGCAACTAAAGCAATGCTGTATTTATGAGAGACTGTTACACTTGCAAAATTGTTTAGATAGTGCTGAACCTAGAGTTTATAATAAACCTTCATAATGTTCTAATACTCTGAAAAACAATTATTAACTCAATACTGTCAATTATTAATTCACTTGTGAATTCACATTAATTCAATAGCTCAATGGAAAGATCTGAGGTGGTTGTCAGAGTGAAAATGAAAAGTATTTAAATGCATTACACTGAAGCATTCCATTTTAACATTTTACCTTTAGATATGGCAGTACAAAGTACATCTTGTTTTCAAAACATATTACATTCCTAAAGTATATTCTTTTTAATACAAGCATAGCCTATTAACTGGCACTTCTCAACCTATTTTTTAAATTAAAGTTTAAGAATCCATGGGGGAGGGGAGCATGAACCGTGTGGTAAGCAGCATACATAAAGCTGTCTTTAGGTGAGTAAATGGAACAAGACGTTGAACCCGATGATACATTACTACTTGAAAAGAAATGAAAAGTGGTGTAGTTCTGTACACTCCCAGAGCACAAAGGGTGGGCGCAGAATGAATGAAAAATACACGAGTCAGATTCCTTCAAACATCAGCACCCAATTATAAGAATTGTTACATGCATTCATTTTCCCCATTGAGAGTCAATCGCTGTGCATTGTTCCTTGCATTCATCAATTCAATACAATCTGTGTTCTTTCCCTAGGACTCAGGCGGAGTGAAAGTTTGTCTGAAAAGCAAGTGAAAGAAGCTAAGTCTAAATGCAAAAGCATCGCTCTCCTTCTAACGGATGCTCCCAACCCCAACTCCAAGGGGGTGTTGATGTTTAAGAAGCGGAGGCGGAGGGCCCGGAAGTACACCCTAGTCAGTTACGGTACTGGCGAGCTTGAGCGAGAGGAGGAGGAAGAGGAGGACCAGGAAGAAGGTGACAAGGACGAGATAAGTGAAGTTGCATTTCTTGGAACGAGCGAGTCAGAAGTGGATGAGGAGTTACTGTCTGACGCTGACGACAACACACAAGTTGTGAACTTTGATTGGGATTCTGGACTGGTGGACATTGAAAAGAAACTGAACCGAGGCGACAAGATGGAGATGCTGCCAGACACCACAGGCAAGGGAGCGCTCATGTTTGCGAAGCAGAGAGAGAGGATGGAACAGTTCACCGCCCAAAATGAAGAGGAGAAAACGGGTGCGATGCCAGGCCGAGGACCAGAGGCGCTGCAGACGGACAGTCTGAGAACCGTGACTTCTTATCAGAGGCAGGAAGAGGAGTCAGTGAGAATGCAGAGCTCTGTGAGGGAAAGCTCCATCCAGATGGGTCGCAGTCTTGGCAACATGCCACAACAGAATGGCTTCAGTGGAGTGTCTGAGACAGCAGGGGCCCAGAGGGTGATCCCTATGAATAGAACCGCCAAGCCCTTCCTGGGAACCATGAACCAGGCAGCAGCCCCCTTCTCCCCAACGCGAAGTGTGACAAGTCCCATCTCCGACTTCCCTGCTCCGCCACCTTACTCCGCCGTCTCACCTCCACCTGAAGCCTTCTCCAGAGGGGTCTCAAGTCCAGTCACTGGCCCCGCACAGCCCCCTCCATGGCCCCAGCCTGCTCCATGGTCACAACCAGCCTTCTATGATTCATCTGAGCCAATAGCTTCCCGAGATGAGAGGATCGCAGTGCCGGCCAAGAGAACGGGAATACTGCAGGAAGCCAAGAGACGAGGCACAACAAAACCCATGTTTACGTTTAAAGAAACCAAAGTGAGCCCCAACCCTGAGCTCCTGTCACTGCTTCAAAATGCAGAAGGTAAGCGAGGCGCTGGAGCTGGAGGGGATTCTGGGCCTGAAGAAGACTACCTCAGCTTAGGCGCAGAGGCTTGTAACTTCATGCAGAGTTCTGCCAAACAGAAGACCCCACCTCCCGTTGCTCCAAAGCCTGCAGTCAAGTCCTCCTCCTCCCAACCAATAACCCCGGTTTCTCCAGTCTGGTCTCCAGGAGTGGCCCCAGCCCAGGGTCCTGCCTTCTCTACATCCAGTCTACCGAACCCACCGCAGGTCACAGCCGTGTCGTCCATCAAAATAGCCCAGCCTTCGTGCCCTCCTGGCCGGCCTGCAAGCGCACTGAACCTGGCTGGTCCCTTCAAAGGGCCCCAAGCAGCAGTAGTCAGTCATAACTACACACCCAAGCTATCGGCACCCACACAAGTGAATGCTGCTCACGCTGGTGCAGGAGGACCATCCAATGAGCTTCCTGGAATGAGTGGGAAAGGAGCCCAGCTCTTTGCGAAAAGGCAGTCGAGGATGGAGAAGTACGTCGTGGATTCCGACACAGTGCAGGCCCACACAGCTCGGGCCCAGTCTCCCACTCCATCCCTACCCGCCAGCTGGAAGTACTCCTCCAATGTTCGAGCACCCCCTCCCGTGGCCTACAATCCCATCCATTCCCCTTCATACCCACTGGCTGCCATCAAGTCTCAGCCACCGGCCGCGCAGGCCTCCAAAACGAGCAAGAAAAAGGGCAAGAAGCCTCTTAACACTTTGGATGTCATGAAGCACCAGCCGTATCAGCTCAACTCATCGTTGTTTACCTTTCAACCTCCTGATTCAAAGGATGGCCTCCCCCAGAGGTCAACGGTCAAGGTCAGTTCAACTCTGGCCATGAAGCAAGCCCTTCCTCCGCGACAGGTCAATGTTGGCTCTCCCACCAATGCGCAGGCTTCGTCTGTGTACTCGGTACCCGCCTACACCTCTCAGCCCTCCTACTTCGCCGAGGCCACCTCACCGGTCAGTGCATCCCCAGTGCCTGTGAGTGTTCCCACCTCTCCAAAGCAAGAGTCAGCCTCCACGTCGTATTTTGTGGCACCGAGGCCGAAATTCTCAGCCAAGAAGAGCGGTGTCACAGTACAGGTGTGGAAACCGTCTGTCATGGAAGAGTGATCTCGTAGCCGAAGCTGAGTGTCCACTTTGCTTGAAATGAATTGTTTGCAGTGTTGAGTCCCTAAGAATGCTTAGCCCATCCTCAATTAATTTCAGATATGTTACCTCCCAGTTTGGGTCCAAGAAGCATACTATTATGTTTTTGGGTCAAAACCCCAACTCAGTTTGACTTAAAATATATTTATTTTCTTTGCACACTTAAAACTATCCATGATATCCCCACATAGGCATGTGTCATTACATCAAGTAAGCAGGATACTTAGGGTTTAGGGTTTAGCCACAAGACAGTGATCAGGGTAACCAAGCTTGGAGGCACAGCCCTTTCGTAGCATAGCTGTGTTCGTATAGTGAAAGGGTGAAAATATAACAAGATGACCGAGATTCCCTTCAAGTCACTCTTTAGTTCTATTTCTGCTATTAAGGAATAGGAAATCTCTGGAGGGCAGCATCAGCTCTGCCCAGTCACCTCAGATGCCTCTTTGCTGTCATAGGGACTCCTACTTGTTGGGATTTGCATAACTTAGCAATGGGTTGTAATGAGGATCTTAGAGGCAGAGCGCTTACCCTGTATCAGTCCCTTGTCTAGATGTTCTCACACACATTGACTCATTTCAGAAGATGTATATGAAGTAATTAGGATAGGGAGAGAAATCCCGTTATCCTTAGAAATGGATTTCCATGGTCCCGCCCCGGTTCCTTAAGGAACTATTGAGTGTATCTCCCATTGCCGGTGAAAGCACGTGCTTGTTTTCCTGAGCTGAGGCAAAGGGTAGCACAGTAGAATAAAGTCACATCCAAAGAAGGATGGGCGCAAAGTCCCACTGGGCTATTGATTTACTTTGAGAAGCCTCATAGCTGGGACTGGAAGGGTTACTGACCACAGGAGCTGGTGCATGGGGACAAAGCAGGAACCGGTGGGAGCCTGCTGGGTGACCTCGCAGAGTCCCTTCTCGTGTTCAATTTGCTCTTTGGCATGTGCTTCCTCCACTGTCCCTGGCAATTCTATTCTTGCACCTGTATTTTCTTATTTATATTTGATGAGCCAGCATAGTTTGAACAAGGTTACCTTGTAAATTTGGATTGGTTACACACCATGTTGTCATCCAGCTGGCTATGAGGTTAATAATGGCACTGATCGCAAACCTGAAGACCTTTCTCATATCTATTTTAAGTCTGAGTGCAACCAACCATGGAAAATATTCAATGTGGGTTAAGGCAGAGGAGTGCAAAGCAGTTACGACAGCTCCAGGGGAAACCCTCTGCTTCGTGGAGGGGCTGGATGTGCCTAGAGATTTCATGTAAAGGCTTTCCTAGTTTGAGAGGACACAGTAAGACTTCAGTCTCAAGACACTGTATCCTGTCTTCCGCTGTCACTGTCATTCTGCTGTACTCCACTATCCTATTAAAATACTACCTTCTTTATCTGTTCACTGTATGTGTTCCTTCAAGGCCTCGCGTACAACTTTGCTCTAATCTTAACCATTTCTCTAATGTTTCTCTTTGAGCATCCAAATCTCCCTCCCGTTGGAGAGCTTCCTTTCTTTTGGAAAGAATCTATTGTAAAACTGTCAGTCTTAGGTATTTCCAAAACATAGGGAATAGTGGGTCGGGTACAGAGTGGTGGGCTCACCATCCTGCTCTCTCTAAACAACCTCCTCTTGCATTTGGTGGTGATGCAACTATAAGGAGTGATTTGCTCTCTGTTTGATTTTATGGAAATTAATTAGGGAGATTCTTGCAGAGTACAGTGGTCAAACCAGCCCCTTAGACAACAGTGTATTTGTGTCACTCATTGCCTGCATAGGCTGTTTGTTAAATGCCATGTTTTTTGTTTGTTTGTTTTTTGTTTTTTACTGTAGAACAATCAAAAATTCTTTCTTCATATGAAATAGGGAAATGTCATTTTAACAACTTAGCTTTTTATTTTGTTTTTGCTTCTTTTGAGACAGAGTTTCTCTATGTAGACCTGGCTGTCCTGGAACTCACTCTGTAGACCACACTGGCCTTCAACTTACATCAACCTCTGCCTCCTGACTGCTAGGATTAGAAGTGTTTGCTGCCCTTTGTGGCTTAACTTTGCATTCTTAACATAGCATGAGTTAGAAGAAAGACATAGGGATGTCCCACCAACGACAGGAACTTAATTTGAAATCATTGGTCCCAAAGTGCGCTAGCTAGTTGTAACCCAAAAGTATCCACAGTTATACAGTGGTTTGTGGTGTGCAGTGTCCTTGGGAAGGGGCCTTGCTCTTTCCTGTTGACCAGTGGTCTTAGCAGGACCACTATTTCAGTTCATAACTAAAGCACAGGTAACACGACTACATTTCCTTATCTGGAGATTGCTCGCAGGTTCAGAGACCCCTCTAAGAGACATGCCAAGCATACAGACTCAGTATCTTCAGTTTTTCAGTTTTTCTGGACTGTAGCAGAGACCTCATTCAGTACCACAGGGTCCATGGGGGGAACTTAGGTTGCACTCTCCAAAGACCAGTCTGGGAAGGAGAAGACCAAGCCAACTCGCTGAGGCAGATGGGCTTCCCACTTTCCTCCCTCCTCCAGGAGCCATGTGTGCTCTGCTGTGACAGGGCTGTCAGTGTGGCAGGTAGGAGGTTAGAACGTCTAACCACTGCTGCACCCACTTTCAAACCTGAGTCCTGGCTTTGCTTAGGTGGAGGTTGTTGGGATTAGCTGGTTGGCTGGGTGGGAAATCTGGAAAAGCAGTTCCCCAGTTTCTTTCCTTTTTGTTTTTTGTTGTTGGTGGTTTTTTTTTTGTTGTTTGTTTGTTTGTGTTTGCTTGCTCCTCGTCTTTTCACGAAGTCAGTTTTTGTCATCAACAACATCGATAATGGATCCTTGGGTGTGCCTTGTATTGGGTGTCTGAAGAACAGTGGTCAGAGGGATTCACTGCAGGCTCTATTCATGGAGTTAATCACAGCTACTGACTGTCTGGAAGATTATTGCTAAATTCCTCTTCTGAGAGTCCCTCTTCCCAGGAGGAACATGGTGCTGTGGAAAGTGCATTCGTGCGTGTTTGAAACGGAAGATTCTAGGAGGAAAGCAGGTATTATGCAAATACAAGACCAGCATTTCCCCTCTTATGGAGGAAGTGCATTGACACCTTACCCTAAGAGCACTCACTAGCCTATCTTCAATACCTCCATAATAATCATGTTCTGAGAATGGACAAGACACAGTGCGTGTATTTAGACTATTCACTGTCATGTTTTTAGAACTAGGTTTTGTAAAGCACATTTGGTTGATCATCCTAGAACGTGTAAAATGGCACTATCTACAATGATTGCTGACAATAACACCCATCAACATCCCTTTTAGTATTCACAAGAAGCAACAGATTTTTTTAAGCACAAGAAAACGTGTTACAAATAGTTACTTAACATAAGCTGAAGTCTTTTATTCTAGATCAGTGGTTCACAACCTTTCTAGTGCTGCAACCCTTTAATATAGGTCCACAGTATTGTGGTGACCCCCAACCATAAAGTTGTTTTGTTGCTACTTCATCACTGTAATTTTGCTACAGTTACGAATCATAATATAAATGTCTTATATACATAATATCTGACATGCAACCCCTGTGAATGGGTCATTCAACCCCCAAAGGGGTGGCAACTCACAGATTAAGAATGCTGTTTTAGTTAATGCTGAGTTCTCTCAATGTAGAACAGATATGAATTATCCCACAGCCTATATTCTAGCATCTGTGATGTCAAAAACAAACGATCCTCTTTTAAAGGAACGCACTAACATATGAGGCTGTTTGCAGTCACTGGGATAGAGGATGCTAAGAGGATGTTACCACTAAAAGCACAGAGCTCTCTGGGGCCCTTCCAGGAATGCTATTCAGAGCATCAGACTTGGGGGGTTGGTACCTACTGAGTGTCACTTAGTACAGAACCCCCACAAGCACCTACATCTTAAGGCGAGCTCCTCAGTGTCAGCAGCACTCTCTAACAAGTCCTCACCAGCAGGAAGTGTGTTTGAAGCCAAGGTCATCAAGAAGCGACTCTTTTCCAAAATGCTTACTCCTTTGACGTGCTTTCAAAATGAAATGTGGAGAACACAGCCAACTCTCCTGAAAGCACACTTGTTGTGTGTGTGTGTGTGTGTATATATATATATATAGATGTATATATATATATATAGAGAGAGAGAGAAGTATGTAAATTCCAACAACCAATATTCCCAGAAATACTGACCCTCTCTGGTCTGGTCTTGTGTCCCTTATCACTGGACTCTGGGGGAACACAAAGACTTTTGTGAACACTTCAAAGCTGCTGGCGGAGTCAACAAGTATTCTGGGAAAATGCCGAGATGTAATTTTTCTCTTGACTTCCTACCAGGGTTGGCCTCCAGCCACAAAGCAGACCAGTAAATTCCCATAGGACCCAGACACCAGGCAAAGTGCTGGATGCCCAGACACCTCTTATCCCTCTGTGAGCTTCCATTCCCCACAGGAACACAACTGTCTGCCTTGACGAGATCAGGTGAAGCCTATTTCCAAACTTGTTAAAGTGTGTGTCCATACCCAGTCTACCGCTTGGCACCCGGAAATCAAAGAGCTACCCAGAGGCAATTGAATGAAGAGAACTTTAATTTGATTATTGTCAAATCCAGGGCTGGGGTGTCACTCAGGTATGGAGGTTCCCAGGTTCAGTCCCCCAGATCACTGTGAGGAAAAAAAGTCAAATCCTGTCAGACACTTACTAGATGACTGGTTTTGTCAGAAGTTTGGGAGCTAACAGAGTACAATCAGGAGAAAGAAGAGAGTGGCTTCCCCTGGACACTGTAAGTGATTTTTTTCATTACGGATACACACATCTGTGTTTGCTCTTATTTTTCACTGTTTTTTTTAACATGTGAAGATCCTTGTGGTGGTCTTTGTTGTCTTATGCTTGTTACTGAAATGTTAGTCAGAGGCCCTCAGCAAGTTCTCCCAAGACCTAACCTTCAAC